AGTTTAATAATTAAGTTTGTAAATTAGTTACAAATTTATTACTTATAATTTCCAATTAATTAAACAGACAATATCTAATATACCTATATATTTTTGGGGATATATACAGTAGAAAGATGGGAGGATACTTAAACACATCTTGTATTTAGGGTACAACACACAATTTTTCAGCCCTTGGAAAAGAATCCAATTATTGAAAAATAAAAATTCATTTTACAAGCCCGTAAAGAGACTTAAAGATAAACCCAATATAATTCTTTTTAGTATCCATGGAAAAGATAGGGAGGAGAGTTAAAATAAGAGAATAGACTGGATTGGTAAATGTCCAGTTGACTCCCTACATGTCCGCAAAGGGAATGCGCACTTTTCTTCCCTTTCTTTGCATTTTTGGCGGTAGGAAAAATGCCCGCTTAAAGGAAGAATTCTTTCTCACCTCTTTGACTTTGAAAGTAAGGAGAGAAAATAATAAAAATTAATTAAACTACTGTATATAGCGATGATCGGGGTTCTGTTCGAAAAAAGTCCTGATATCGGTTCGGGCCAGTTAAAAATTTAATTCAGTTATTTTCCTTTATTTTCCCATTATTTAGTGCCGCAAATAGGTAAAGTTAGATCACCTGCTTCTAGAAAAATTCATCCTTTAGTCTTGATCAATTAGGTTATGCACTTATACCCCCAGTAAAGGCTATATCCCACTGATCTTCTATAAATATATTTGAGAATATTATCCCAAATTTATGTTGCTTGATCATTTATAAGAAAAAGATATGTATTTGTTTTCACTTTGTTATTATTTCATTTCTCTCCCTTTCATTAGAGCATAATATAACAAAAAAGGAAAAATAAGTGGGCATTTTTCCTAACGCCAAAAATGCAAAGGAAGGAAAGAAAAGTGTGCATTCTCTTTGCGGACATGTAGGGAGTCAACTGGACATTTACCGACTGGATTTGTTTAAAACAATGAAAATTATATTATTTTTAAAATTAAAAATTTTTAAAATTTTACTTGCCCTATTGACATCCTTTGATAATTTCTTTATCAATGAATGAACAAAAAAGTGAGCATCATGTTCTTTATATCCAGTGAACTCGGAATTAATCGTTCTAGCAAAGGTATCCTAAAATAAAAACTCTTCTAAAATTCTCCTACTTTTAGTTATTACCATAAGTCTAAATGTATGTATAAATCTGTATTTTCCTGACCAATAGGCAACAAATAAAGCACTGACAGCTCCAGTCAGGCACCATTTGTAGATTTACAAAGAATCTGAGCGCATTTTTGTAATATAAAGCAGTATGCCAAATTTCCTAAAATACGAAGAAAAATAGCTAATATGTGCTTTAAATCAATATTTTAAGAAAAAACACAGATTCAACTTTTAAAATTGCAATTTAACAGTACTACTAAAAGATTTTATTGAATTAATTTCTGTAAAAGATGAATAAAATTTCACCCAAAAAATAAAAAAAAATTTTTTTAGACCAAAAAGATTCAACATTTTGAAAATGTTGACCAATTTTTGCCAAGATTAAAAAAGCCGAAATATAGACTAAAATATTCAAAATTTCCTAAAATATGCAAGAGAGGGCCGAAATATGGAAATATGTGCATTAAGAACCGGGTCCTAAAGTGATCGAACCAATGTAAAAACACCGTTTCTATACATTTGCGTGTTTTTCCCAGCCCTACTGATAAGAAAATATAGAAAAAGGGTACTACTAAGACTTTGGACCTTCTGCGGAGTTAATTTTCCTAATTTATTTAATATATTGCCAATGGCTTGTTTGTTTCTATATTTGGCATTTTATTACTTTTCCGGAGATTCAAAAAGCCCGTCAGTCTTCATTAGTCCCGAAAAGGTGAGAGGTGATTAAAGGATAAGAAAAGGAGTTAGAGAGTGAAGTGTTTGTAAAAAAATTTAACAGAAAAAAATTAACAATTTAACAGTACTACTAAAAGATTTTATTGAATTAATTATTTTAAGATGATATTGTTCTAATAATGTAAATATAAGTTAAATAATTGCTTTAAAGAATAGAGGTAAGTATATATAGAATAATTAAATATGGGTGAGAGAAAATAGACGTTATGAAGGAGATAAAGAAAAAATTTGAAAGATATTTTTAAATAAAAAATAAATTACTTGTTGCTGAAATAATTTCATTTTTTGTTGGCAAACACTACAATCATAAGATTTAGTGGTGATTGAGTGGAATAAATCTGATACAATAGATGAAGCATAACCATGCATTGTAGGCAAATAATTAATACCACATTTTTCCATACTATCATTTAAAACATACTCCTTTTTACCATCATCGATTGAATTTATTTCCTTTAATTTATTAAAGTAAACAAAAATTTGGCACATTTCGGTTATGCTACACCCGATTTTAGTCCATAAATTACACTAAACATAAATGTATGTTGATAGTCGTAAATTAATTTAGGAATTTATATATGTAAATAAAGTCCTTCCCACATAACCTTATCCACTCCAATTTTTTGAGATGTTTTTAAAAGTACACTGAACATAGGGACGCTTCACCTTAAGGGGCAATTTTTTCTAGCTTGTTCTCATTAATACTAATACCAGTTTAATAGTTAGAGTACATTTATAAAAATGTACTCTGTTTTTTATTATCTTTAGATTTCTTAACAAACAACATTTTCTAGTCTCCATGGAAAAGATAGGAGTGTTAAAATAAGAGAATCGACTGCATTTGTTCAAACAATAAAAAATGTATTGGTATTGTTTGTCATAATTTTCTTTAATTTTGAGACTCATGGAGAGGAGGGGTTGGGTGAGTGTAGCATAACCAAAAGTACAAAAATTCAAAATTTTCTTGCCCTGTTCACATTTTCTGCTAATTTATTGATCAGACACATGAAAGAGCATGTCCTAAAAAGGCTTTTCTTTTCCAATTTCCTAATTTTATTTTGTATGAATGATATTTAAAATTCATCATAAATTTATGACTATTATAAGAACTATACATAAAATATTTTGTAACTTTAAATTCAAACAAAATAAGAATATAATTCTAAATAAGCCCGTGACGAATGCTAGACTAATGCTCCTTAAGGAAGAGATGGTATGTTAAAAGATATTTTATCATTTTATCCCATATTTTAATTAAAAAACAAACTTACAATTTCACTTCAACAAAATATGCGACACCGTTGAGTTTTGTAAAGTTCTGGATTTTTTGGACCAGATGATCCTTTTTGACCAAGAATATTTGTTGTATTAATATTTCCATCTAAAGACCAATGACAACCTTCCAAATCGTTAATTGATTCTGTTGTTTGTTTGAATGCTCTAAAATAATAAATAAACAGGGTCGGTTAATTTACCGCCACTTTTGTTTTTGCCATAACTTTCTGAAAAGACAGTCAATATTCATAATTCTTTTTTTATTTCATCACAAATATTCTAAGAAAATTTTTGTTATCAAAATATGTATAAGGTTGGTTCATGCTAGTACACTAAAAAAGAAAGAATATAAAAATTATATAAGTAGCTTTTTAAGTTTAATTAATTTACAAGGAACATCATCGAATAGTAGATAATAAACCTAACATAAACTTCTAAATTTAAATTAATTGAAAATCTTACATACAATAGAAATTTCATAAAATTTCTTCCGAGCAAGTTTTTCTTCAAAATAATTAACAAAATCACGAAAATGTAAATTTGTTTGCTTCATTGAACATAAATCTTGATAATTGAGGAATTTAAAAATATAAAGTTTAATTTCTGTAGGCAATGAATAAAGCATTTTTTCGAAAAATTTTAATAAAGTATGTACTAAAAATTAAGTTATTTAAAAATCTATAAATTTGAAAAGTACTACTAAACTAAAATCAAAAAACATGGGATTATTCCAAAAAATGAAAAGAGTAGTAGTAGTAGTAGCCAAGTAGTAGCTAGTAGTAGTAGCCTAGCTAGTAGCCCTAGTAGCCAACCAAATTATCAAAAAACGTATCTAAAACCAAAAGGTATTTAACTTTGTGGATATCTAAAATCAGGCCCGATTGTATACTTTTTTCCGGCACTGTACTAGTGTACAATAAAAACAAAGAAATATTCATTATACACAGACTTAGTTTGGGGTTGCACACCCTATTCAGATAATTCCAAAGGAGGGTTGAAATATAGTGCGGCCCCCTCAATTAGTACGGCCCTTTAGAAGAGGGTTGAAAATTAGTACGGCCGGCCGTACTATTTCAGGAAATACGGTAATCCTATTCTTTTAATGTATTTTTAAATAAAAGTATTATTTAATAAAATCTAATAAAATGTGATTGGACTCATAGTTTTATTTGGACTCATAAACTTTTCATTTGACTCATAAATTCGATTGGACTCATAAAGTCAAGTAATCATACCTCAACCTCATAAAGTCAAGTGATACAATAAAACTAGGCCGCAACTATGTTGTTACCAAAGTAGTTTTAAAAAAATATAAAAATAAATTAGCAAGCTTAAACTTGTTAAAAAATGGAAATAAATTTTACAAAACAAAAATAATTTAATCGAAAATCAATGAAGAACAAATTTTTTAAATAATTTTGTCCAATAAATCAAATAAAATTTCCGTTTTCGTCTACTCAAATTCTACTCTTTCATTTTTCTGATTTTAATATTAATTACTCCATACCTCTCTTCATTACAAAATGAGAATCTCACTTTTGGATTGTGAATATTGGCGATTTGGTATTTTGTATATTTAACTTCATTTAATTGTTTAATTTCAAACTTCTTTGCTCTTTCACTTAATTTAAAATTTTTGGAACTAAGATAATCTAAAATAATGACAGGCATCATTTTTGGAAAGTTTCTTGAAGTTGCTATATACTAAAATTAAAATTTATTTTTAACTTTTAAACTAGGGCAGCACAAAACTGTTTGGCTAAACGGTAAACGGGTTTTTTGGTAAAATTAAACGGAAAGGTATACGGGTCTCTGATAAATGGCATACTTGTTTTTTCAAAATTAAACCGGTTTTGTGCCACACTTTTTTAAACGACTAACTTCTATAATAAGATCATAAAGCTTTGTTGATTTGAACCATCTTAAATAAATCTTTGGAAGTTTATTTCCTTCATTTATTAAAATTTTAAATAAAATATCAATATGTTGTTCTGTAACGTCAATTTTATCCAGAAAGATATTAAGAGCTTCAGAAATTGATAAATGATTTACAGAAAAGTTTAAAAGAATTTCAAATGTTGTATTGCTAGGCCATAGAAACGCTTTAAAAATTTGAAATTTAAGAGAAATTGTTTTTTCGTTATCGAATAAAATATTGATCATTTCTGGATTGAATATACATTCAGAAAAATGAACATATTTGAAAGCACATTTAAATAGTTGTTCTAACCAGCAACGAACATAAATCATTTCTTCAATATTCTTTGGAATTGTTGGCATTTTTAAATAATAAAATTTTTGGCACACCATATGAGGACTTTTAATAAGTAAGTTTTTTACAGATTCAGACTCATGTAAAAACAACGGAATTGATTTGTCTATCGCTGTCTTCCACTGAAAAAATAAATTTATCTAAATTTAATTAAAAATTAATTTAACCTTCTCTTCAATCTGATCATCTAAAGTAAATTCAAAAATCCCAGATTTAAGTTCAATGTATTCAACAAAAAAGGTCCTGTCACTTTCACTAATCTTAAAAATAAAGAAAAAATCAGTTAGTTTATGATTGAAATAACTAAATCTTTACAAGAATAAATATTTACTATTGAGAAATCACCAAATTTCTTTCGTGCCAATCCTCCCTCGTATTTATTAATTAAACTGCGCAAGTAAAAATTTGTTTGTTTAACAGAGAATATTTGGTTGAAATCAAGACATTTTAATACATCAAATTGAACCTCAATTGGAAGAGAAAACATTTTAATTGTCTAAAAATGAAATATTAAACTTTAAATTCTCCTAAAATATTTTAAATCAAAAAGTTGCAGTTCGCGAAAAATTGAGAAAACTAAAATGAAAAGATCAGAAGTGAATTAAACAAAATAAATAAAAATTGCCTAAAGATAAGTTTTTAGTTTTTTGTATAAAACAGAGCTCGGATCGAGAAAATGTTAGTAGTGAATAAAATCAAATTGGGTATAAAATTTCAGCAACTTTTTTGAAAAAGGATTCTTTTGTTAGTAGGTACTAACAAAAGAATAGACGAGATAAGACAGTAATTAACAGACTGTGCTTCGATATAAATAATACAATCTACGATAAGAACAAAGCTAAAACAAGAATTTATAGAATAAAAAAAAACGAAAATAGAATAAAAGAAAAGTACACTGAACAATAACACTGAAAACTAGACTAAATAAAAGGGTGGCTTTTATACTAAACCTGATCACCAACAAAGTTATTCATTGTAAAATACATATAGCTAAAAATGGATAAAAATTCTAGATTTTTTAATTTGTTTGGCTCCTTGGAGAAAGGGAATAACTGCATAAGCAATAGCACAAATTCAAGATAAACATTCTAACATAATATTTTTTACCCTCGAGTACGTACACTAAAATGTATTTTGAATATTTAAAAATAAAATGGAAAATAAAATGACCCCTATGAATCAGAGATGTGCGTCATAACGTTTTGGCGTGGCGTTTTGGCGTTTTGGCGTGATTTTTGGCCGATTTTGGCGTCCTGGCGTTTGGCGTGATTTTCATCTTTTGGCGCGCCAAAACGCCAAAATTATACACCCCTAATGATGGGAATTTCCAAATAAATGGGGGAAGTGTTTTCTAAAAAATGAAATTTTTTTGCCTCAGCCTTCAATAATTTTCAAAATTTTCGCCTGCGGCGCATAAAAAAGGAAGAAATCTACTTATTAGCCTTAGCCGGATTAGGTCTCCTTCTTCAATCCTCCAATATTCATTAAATCCTATTAGTCTACCAAAGTCCACTAATGTCCTCCTTAATTCTTTCTAAGTCCCTTAATTTGTGAGGTCAAAGAGGATATCTAAACACTTCGATATCCTACAATTCTGGGGTTGTGATTTTTCTATATTTCTTGCAATTTTTTACAGAAAGTAGGAAAATTTCCATAATTTTGGGTGTAGGCGTTAAAAAAACGATGAATTTTGGCTTCAGGAAGTCGTGAAAATTCAAAAATTTTCGCCTGCGGCGCTAAAAAGAGAAAAACATTGGTTTTACGTGCCTTAGTATAATAAAATTTTTGGCGTTTTGGCGTTTGGCGTTTTGGCGTCGTTTTTGGCCGATTTTGGCGTTCTGGCGTTTGGCGTGATTTGAAATTTTGAAAAATTGGCGTTTGGCGTTTGGCGCGCCACGCGAAAATTCTGGCGCACATCCCTGCTATGAATCAAAATTTCATTTTCCTCCCTCAAATTCTACTTCCTTTATTTTAATTCCAATATAAAAATCGATCTATCTTCCCCAGGGCTTCGATTTTTGCGGATTTTTCCTCATTTTGTGGTTTTTTGATATGGCGATGAGGATTATTTTTTAAAATGCGGATTTGCGGATTTTTGTGGCCTTTTGAAGAATATGAGGATTTTTTAAATTTTCTTGTAGTTTTTAGGATAAAATGTCATTTTTTTCTCTTAAGGTCTTCAAAAATCCTCAAAATTTTCGCCTGCGGCGCAGAAAAGGACGATTTTTAGCTTAAGGATATCCAAAATTCAAAAAATTTTCGCCTGCGGCGCTGAAAATGGAAGAAAGCTGGCTTCTTTGACTTCAAAAATTTCCAAAATTTCCGCATGCGGCGCTTAAAAAGTACGATTTTGGCTTCTTGGCCTTCATAAATCCGCAAAATTTTCGCCTGCGGCGCAAAAAAAATAAGATTTGTCCAGTAAACAATTCACTACAACAAGGGACGGTGAAAGCATTGGCTCAAGTCAAATGTAATTTTTCGTTTAATTGTCAGGATTTTAATAAGATAGTCATTAGTAGTGAAAAAACTGCTCAATTTTTTTTTTTTTATTTATTTATTTATTCACGTAAAATCAAAGGGCACAAATTCAGTAAAAAATATATATGTGCCACTTACATGCAGTGAATGTAACCCATTTAATATATATGTATGTATGAGGAAATTAAGACAATTTTTTTAGTAGTATATAAATGTATTATTTATTTCCTTGGCTTTTAATAAGTGATTTTTAAGTAATATCCAAAATTGTTTTGGAGTTTTCGAGTTAATTATGTTTTCTGGGAGAGAATTCCAAGTATTTGTACACCTATTTATAATCCAATTTTCAGTTTTAGATGTTTTCCTTAAAATTTGTATTTGTTGTTTGTGTTTATTTCTTTTAGTTCTGGAGGAAAATGTTATTAATGTTTTAGGATTGATTGAAGTAAAATGATTGATAATTTTATAAATCAAGGTTAAATCGTAAAGAGTACGTCTTAGACTGAGACTTTCTAGGTCGAAAATTTTTAACCTATCTTGATAAGCGATTTTGGATCGTTTACATTTTCTAAGAGCATGAAGGGTGTAAAACTTTTGAACTTTTTCGATTTGATTAGTAAGTGTTTTCGTCATCGGATTCCAGATTTCAGGTCCATACTCAAGTATGGGTCTAACATAGGATTTAAATGAAATAGACCATATTTTAGGGTTGGTTGAGTGAATAGTCCTTAAAAGTTGAATGGAGCGGTAGAATGCATTTTTAACAATTTTGTTGATGTGGGAATTAAAGGAGAGAGATTTTGTGATTTCGATACCTAAATCCCTAATAGATGAGGTTTCTTGGAGGATTATATCATTAATTTTGTATTTTATACCAGTGTTATTTTTACCGATATGAAGAATAAAAGTTTTATCATGTGCTATTGGAAGGGCCCAGTCCTGACTCCATTTATTTATCGAATTCAGTCCTTTTTGTAATAATTTGGAGTTATTATTGTCAAAGTGCTCGTAAATTTTTGCATCGTCTGCATATAGTTTTATGTGTAGGTGTTGGGGAAGTACCCCAGGGAGATCATTTATATAGACAAGAAAAAGAAGTGGGCCGAGGACCGACCCCTGGGGTACACCCGATTTGATTTCGTATGAAGAAGAGAGACTTTCCCCAATTTTTACCCGAAAGGTTCTATTAGTGAGAAAGTCTTCAATCCAACTTAAGAGTTTTCCACTAATACCTAAATTTTCTAACTTATAAATTAAAAATTGAATAGGTACGGAGTCAAATGCTTTGCGGAAATCAATATATATACAATCTGTAGATTCACCCTTTAATATTGTTTCATACCATGTTTGTAGTGTAGAAATAAGCTGGGTAATTGTAGACCTCCCCTTTAGGAAACCGAATTGATTGGGATTAATTAAATTATTTGTCATGAGGAAGCTAATGATTTGTTGGGATATGATTTTTTCAAATACTCTGCAGATGGTGCTGGTTAGGGAGATAGGACGATAATTTGATGGATTTGATTTTAGCCCTTTTTTGAATATTGGGATGATGATAGATTCTTTCCATTGTTTGGGAACCTTACCATTGTCTAGTGATGTTCTGAATAGTTCGGTTATTACTGGAGATAGTGGTAGGTAACAATGTTTTAATATTTTATAGCTTATACCTTCCGATGAGGTTGAATTTTTTGCTGGGGAATTTTTGAGCGCGTTAGCCACTGTTATTATATCAAAGTTTACATCATTTAGATTATGGTTAGAATATTTGGGAAGTGTAGGAGGATCTCTGGAGGGAACATTCTCAAAGTATTTTGAGAACATATTTCCAAAAATATAACATTTATCAGCTTCCTCAGTAATAATTCTGTTATCTATTTCAAGAGTTGGAATTGGATCATTATTTTTTGTACGGTGTTTTATAAATTTATGAAGTTTATTATAATCTGAAACTATACCCCTTATTTTTTGATTGTGGAATTGGTTAATAATGAATTTGGTGGTTTTACAGATATCTTGATATTGTTTTTTTAGTTTAATGTTATAGTTATTTGCTTTCATACGGCGGAAAATTAATAGTTTCTTGTTAATTAAACTACTAATATATCTTGGATATTTAATTCTTTTATTTTCAGGTGTGGTTGAAATTGTTTTAATAGGAATACTCAGATCGATCTGGTTTTTGAGGGTATTTAGGAATTCAGAATATTTTGAATCAATTGTATAGAAATTATTAAGATGACAGAAATTGGTATAGTTTAATGCGTTTCTTAGTTTATCAATATTTTTATTGGACATGTCTCGGATTTGGATTGGTTTATTATTTTGAGGAATAGAGTTTAGTTGAAAATGTATTGAAAAGTGATCAGATATGCCATCCTTGACCTCATAGTTGGCGAAAAGAGTGGTATTATTTGTTAGTAAGAGATCAAGGGTGGAACCTGATTGGTGAGTTGGTTCTAAAATGAGTTGATTAAAAAGGAAATTATGACAGAAATCAATAATCGAACTGTCTGTGTTGGTAGGATTATTAGGGTTATTCCAATCTATTCCCGGTAAATTAAAATCACCACATATAATGAAATCTTCCTGATGGAATTTTGAGAGTTTGGTAAATATTTTTTCAGTGTGGAGTTTCTTTGTGTTTGGTGGTCGATATATAAGTCCAAATCGAATGGATTTTTTGTTTTTTGGAAAATAATCGATAATTAGCAGGTCTATTCCGTAAAATGATGTAGAGGAGACTAGATTACAATTAAATTTGGATTTAGCTAGGATTGCAATCCCACCGCCTTTTTTATTATTTCTATTTGTGAGGAAAACTTGGAAAAGATTACTGAATGATAGTTCAGAAATGATCTTGTGGTTATCAGTTATCCAAGTCTCGGTGATGAATAAAAAATCGGGATTTTCTGTGGAGATTATGTATTCTAAAGTTGGTAATTTGTTAAGTATAGATCTTGAGTTAAAATATATACATTTTAATTTGGGATTGATTTTTTGATTTATTAGGTTTAAACCGTAAGGGGGGTTATTTTTAATCTTTTTTGTATTAATTTCCTCATTAAAATTCTTTTTCCCGGGATTTGTGCATGTAAGTGGTTTGTTATAAGTATATGTAAAATTCTGTTTAAAAGAAAAATAATTAAACCTTAAATCACTGCATTGTGGCACTAAGAGTTTTTTTCATTCAAGATTTTACGTCGATCACTTATATTTCTGGTTTGCCAATTTTCTTTCTTCTCCGCTCTTTCTTCAGCTGTTTCTGACCAACGAATTGCAAATTTATCACTTCCAACCAGTTGACGAATTGTGTCACGTTTTTTAGTCCAATTTTTTAAAGCCTGAATTTGAAAACGCCGCGCCGGCAAGATCACCTTTAAAAGACGCAAACCTTTTTTTGTTGGGTCATGAACACCCATGCGATATACAACCGC